TGACTCCTTCCCTGCAGAGTACAACCTCACAAACCGGCTGAGGTCCCTGACCGTCAGCATCAACACGACAGCATGAGATCGAGTTTATTTCTTTGTTATTTATTATTTTTTGTTATTTTAAAGAAACCAACAAGACAGCAAACCTCCTTGCCCTGTGTCAGTTCCACCCCTTATTGCTGAGCTGTGACGGAGTGGACCTGTTGGCATCTCCTGAGCTGTGATCTGTTCAGAAATGGATCACTGGGTCTTTCCTGTAGAACAGTGGGTGGATTTAAGCTGCCAAGCTTGTTTTTTACGTTTATTAGAGCTTCGTTGTTTATGCAGAAGTGTTTACCTGTGTGGATCATAATGATTCATGTCTAACACGGAGACAAGTGAGAACACTTAACTGTGTTCATGCAAAAGTTACACATGGATCAAGAAGCCGTTGTCCAAACAGAACACGAGAACACTGCATGGTTTAAAACCAGATATTGGCTGAACATACATTGAGTTGTGTCCTTTTTCTATATCTGTTCAATAAATAGGAAGAAGGAGTGGCATCCACTTCCTAAATATCATGCCTCCGGAAACTCTCTGAGCTCTGACAAATGTCGATAGTTGTAGGGGGCCTTCAAGCCTTTAGTTCATAGGGGAAGCTATGAGTCGTGTTTGACTCGAAGACAACAACAACAACAATTCGATAAATATGCTGAGAACATCATTCAGAAAACTGAACTTAATGAAGAAGAAGGTGGTATCCTGATTGGAGGAAGACTCATCAACAGTCTGCATTATGCAAATGACAGCAGCATTCTGCTTGCTGAAAGTGCAGAGGATGCTAAATATTTACTGTAGATGATCAGATAGGAATTATCAATAGGAAATAAATTTCAACAGCTGGTTGGCAGTCGGATGACTCCTCACTGTGCCACCAGGCTTCGTCCTTCAGTCTGAAGATGGGGATCCCCTCTTTCTGTTCTCATTGCCAGCAAGCTGGTCCTGACTCATTGCAACCCCACCTGGCAGTGGACCTTCCCGTAGGGTTGGGGAGAAGATCACTGAGAAGGTGTCAACTGCTGGCCTTACCTCCCAGCTGGGTGCTTAACCATTGTACCACCAGGCTCCTTGCTATAACCCCTTAAAACAAAGCACACAAAAAGACCTGTTGCTGATAAGCCAATTCTAACTCCTGTCAACCCCACATGGCAGACGAGAAGGGCTCTGAAGGGCATTTCAGGCTGTAACCTTTATGGGAAGGAGCGGTGGTACTGTGTGTTCCAGGGCAGGCTGTTAACTGAAAGGTCAATGGTTCAAATCCCCCAGCGCCTCTGTAGAAGGAGAGGGTGGTCCCCTCCCATCAGCAGTGACCGCTCTGGAGGCCCAGGGGAAGGTCTCCAGGAGCCATTCTGCTGACTGCCTCTTTGCAAAAGGTGTGAAGCGCTTTCCCATCAGTTCTCTTCCCCGTCTCCAGGCGATGCCTCATGCCTCCCTGAACCTCTGCTCCCTCCTCCTCAGTGGCTCCTGAGTGCCTGGGGATGATGGGAGTTCCCGCAGGAAGCTGAACAAGTGATGGTAGAAGAGACACACCTGCAGAGAGTGAAACCACAGAGAGTGTGATCCAGGGATCCCTAAACCTTTACAGAGTAGATTGTAACAGGGGAATCCAGAACAAACCCTCTGCCTGTAGCTCCATCCCAGCTGCCAGCAAACCCACAGCACAGAATAGAACTGCCCCAGGGCATTTCTGAGACCTCTGGAGACCTGGTGGTGTCGTGGTTTCCGCATCTACTTGCTACCCAACAGGTGGGTGGTTTGCAAGATGAGGCTGTTGGCTTTGATGGAGGTGAGAGCCTGGCTTCAGGGAAAGTGAGACGCCTCAGGGCCAAATGTCAGTGTGCTTTACCTGGTACCAAGCAGAGCCAAGATGTCCAAAAGGTTTCAGGGTTTAAATACTGGTCTATATGTATCTAAAGCATTCTAGGGAGACACAAAAACAGTGAGACTGTTGGAAAGTGGAATTTTCCAGAAATAAAAACTCTGCCGTCATTGTAAATACCTTCTGACCAGAGCCCAGACCCACCCACCACGTATGTATCACCATGACTGCTTCCATCTGACACTGACAGTCATCACTTTCTGGCATTTTCTAGAAAACTTTGCTGACCTCTGGCATGGGCAAACCCTGTGTGTGGAGTGGCCCACAGAGAGCCTGGTGAGAGGGCGGACTCCATTCCACAAGGGAGCAGGGAGATGAGGTCTTGGGACAACACAGCAGCTCTGTCCGAGTGTTCACCTGTTGCCATGAATCCCGTACAAGACCTTGGACTTATGTGTGGGCTCTAGGTTAAGTGGCCACTTTGGACAGAGGACTGTCCTGTTCATTTCTTCCCAAATGAAGAAAATTTAGAAAGACCAAACATTTGCAAATCTCTAGCCTCAGATGTCTGACAGCGGTAACAATGGGGGCTCTAGGAGGTAATCCCTGATTTGTGACTTGTACTGCTCTCTGACATACTGTTCCAAATGTTTTTGGATAATCTTCAGCAGAATCTTGCTTGCATGTGAAATCAATGATATTGTTCAATAATTTCCACATTCTGTTGGGTCACCTTTCTTCAGAATGGGAACAAATATTGATCTCTTCCAGTCAGTTGGCCAGGTGTCTGTCCTCCAGATTTCCTGGCACGACTTAGCACATCGAGGGCAGCATCTGTTTGTTGAAATAAATTAATTGGTATGCTGTCAACTCCTGGAGCCTTGTTTTTTGCCAATTCCCTCAGAGCAACTTGAACTTCCTCCTTCATCACCATAGGCTCTTGCTCATATGTTATTTCATGAAATTTCTCTGTGTCAGCCAATTCCTTCTGATACAGTGACTCTGTGTACTCCTTCCAT